GTGCGCGTTCTGTATTAATTTGGTAAATTGTGATTTTTAGGAATTTTTGTGTAAATTCCGTATACTGCCGTTATGCCGCTGGATTTTCGTACTATTTTCGATTTTCTGAAATTGATGATTTGAATTGATATGCATACGAATGTGACTATCTGATTATTGATACTGAAAGATAAGTGTAACCTGGAGAAGATCATTAAAAAAAAACTCTGCAATTAAGCAATGTTCATATATGGAGAAAATCCTAGTATGGGATGACACCCATTGCAGAAGTTACACTAACAGGGTAAAAATCGTGAGTCTCTTAGACCATAAGAGGGTAATATCTCATATAGTTAAGAATTTGGCTATTACAAAATCTACATCTTTAACTGTTGGTTTCAATGGTTAGTCATTAGTTGATTTATATGTTTTATTTATGTCAAGTTTAAAACATATTATTCGCACTCTAAACCCTAAACACATAATATGCAATTAATGATCACGTTGTTAGACCGCTCAATTCTTATTCCTAGACTTATGTCAAAGAGTTGACCTGGTCAAAATTTGACCACACTGGACGCCCAAGAACACTTCTTAATGGGTTCAGGGAGTCAAGCCAAATCTGCTGAGCCAGATTAGCTTCCTTGAGTCAAGTGTGGACCGTGGGGAAATGAATCCCACGTCAAATAAACTGCTACTCGATGTTGTGTATCGGATAGAAGAAACTCGTGACTGTGATCAGGTCATATATACTTATTATCTATCGAGGTTGCGTAGGCGAGAGCCGCTATCCTCAAATGGTTAATCATGATGTATGATCTTAATATGTCCTAACCCATTGGTCCGTTTGCGATGAGCGGCGGAGGTTTGCAAATGGTCTCTATCCTCGGGTTGGTGCGATCGCTATACCCTTTGCACTCTGCAGCCGGTAGTGTCCTTTTAAAGATCCCACACATGTATGTTCATGGTACTCGACCTGAATGAATATTGTGTTGAGGGCAAATCATATTATTAAGTCTCGTAACTATTGATTAAACTTTCAAATATATTTGAAAGAAATTCTTGTCATTCTTTTTTGTTTTTATAAAATATTTAAAAATGAGCGTTTTTAATTTGACATCTTTCTTGATTCACTTCCCCTAAGAATTATACAACAAAAAGGATAATACACAACATGTATGATAGAAATCACCCTTATTTAAAACATTTATATATCACCAAAAAACTACCAAAAAATCCATATCATCTTATATATAATATACCACCTAAATCAAGATCCACTAAGGAGGTATGATCAATAACATCCTCCTATTCATGTGAGTATATTCCCTTCTCTAAAATAAAAAAAATTACTGTTCTCCTCTTACATCTTCATTTTTTTACATATACTCTAACTGTGTGTAGTCACATCGATCTTGCTAGAACATAGCAATCGATATCATATATAGATCATGATATAATCATATAACTTTATAGTCACTTATGTGTCTACTCTTTTTTTTATTTATTTTTTTTTATTTTTTATTATTTATTTATTTATTTTTTTACTC